TAGACGTTAGCCTTCCTCTCTGGTCTCCTCACAATCCGGAACCCTCCCCGCCCCAGCCCTCACATTGGTCCCCGTCCCCTCCCGTGTTTTCCACACCGGCAGCCAGTCCTCCTCTCCTGTGGTCCCAGAGGCAGTGCGCCATCTGAGTTCACGACATCCGCACCTACGTCTGCTAGGACTCTAAGCGATCCCATCTAGCCTCCCTTCACCAGCGAGCCCCTCCCTCCCCGCCCCCCGCCTCGCGGCGCTGAAGCCAGGAGCGCGCGCCCCCTCCCCCCCCCGCCCCCCACCGGTCAGATGCGTTGGAGCTGGAAGCCCGCCCATGGCTGCTCTCTACACCGGGGGTAGGAGCAGCCCTCCTAGTCTGGCGGCCCGTGTTCTCCCTTCCGCCCCTCTCACAGGCAGCGCGGAAGCCCCCCCCCCTCGCGAGGGTCCCCCTGATTGCCCCACCTTGGCCACTAGCCCTCTCTTCACCCCCACAGTAAGCTTTAATCTTCCCCTCACGTCGGGGCACCGGGAGCCAGCCTGCCTGCCCCACACCCACCCATCCGCAGCCAGCAGGCCTTCTTCTTCGGTAGAGGCCCCAACGCCGGCCCCCCGCGGCTCCACTCCGTAGTCCTCAAAGCACAGTCATTGCCCCCCACCCCAGCACTGGGGAGGCCTTCCTTCCACAACCCCTCCTCCAACCGCTCCGTCCGCTTAGCCATCAACACCACTCACCGCCTCCCAACGCCAGAGCGCCGCCATCTACCCGCCTCGCAGCCAGCGGCAGCCACCCTGTGGACCCCCTACTGGGAATCCTGCCGTCAGCCCCCCTCGGGCCGCTCCTGGTTCCTGCTCCTATGTACCCGACGTGTTAGCCCTCCTCTCTGACCCCCTTATCCAGGGGCCCACCCCCAGTTTCAGCTCAAGAGTCCCCCGCCAACTCCCTGCCCCGGGGGCCTTACTCTCTGTGGACGACTCAGGAGCTGGAGAGCTCGCCTCTCCTGGGCAGCCAGGAGCCAAGGGGCGGCGTCTCCCAAGTTCTCCCGTCTTAAGATCTCGAGAGCTTCCCAGAAAGTTCTAGGTGTTTGGATTCCGGGCAACTGATTGGATCCGAAAAAGCACGTGAGGGGGCAATATGTTACAGATATGTAACAGTAACATATCGGTGTGGGGCGGGGGGCGGGGAAGGGGGAGAATGAAGCTTGATATACCAAGTCTTGAAATTCTAAAAACAAGTACACCCATTGGCCCTCCATGGACAAAATGGCCTACGTACGAACAAGATGGAGAAGCCGGCGGAGTAAACTTGCAAATGGAGAGCCCGTTGTGGCAAATGGGGAAATTTTTCTTCATCGTTTGTTTTCTACTGTGGTTGAAAATGTCATAAGACATATTTTTACGGACTTCTTGTCTAGTTGTCTCCAACTTTTGTTTTATATATTTTAAGCTTATTGTTATAAACCACAAATACATTTATAAACTCGATGTGTTCCTGATTAATACATATGTCATTATTGCCTTTTATAGTGGATCCCCAACTGGGAATCCTGCCTTCAGCCTTCCCCCCCCCCCCCCATTACTTTAATAGTCTTTTTCTTTAAATTTGTTTTGCTTAGTATTAATGTAGCCATTTCCATGGTCTTCTGCTTACTTTTTGCATGGTATATAATTTTGGATCCTCTTACTATCAACTCATCTGAGTCTTTATTTTTAAATTGCATCTCTTGTAGACAGCAAAATATTTGCCCTTTTCCTCATGCTGACAACCTGTACCTTTTAATTGGAGTTCATGACCCATTAACAGGGTGTAATTTTTATATGGTTAAATTTAGATTTATCCTTTTATTGTCTTAGTCCATATAGGCAGCTATAACAAAATACAGTAAAACCTCCATATAATGGATTAATTCAGGCGAAGGGGTGTCCATTAAAGCTGAAAGTTCATTATATAATAAAGTAGGTTTTCTGAATGCATGTAAAAAATTTGACAAATTAGTTTATCTGTTTTTACTTATGCAGACACGTTTGCGTAATGAAAATTAAGTATTTATGAAAAGTTTAATATCACAAAAAAGTTTCCTATATGTATTACTGTAATTTTAAGTTTATATTGAATAGATCTAGTAGATGCCTGCATTCACCAGTCATCGAGATCAACCAAATGCACACAGCTAGGGCCCGGCTTAGCGCAGGCTCGAACATAAGCCCGCACCAGTTAAAACTGCTGCAGAAAATCACACCATCGACAACAGGTCAGTTACCGCTGGAGATGCGGTGTGATCACGAGCTAATCATTCTCCGGACGGACATTGTTTACCAGTGGTGACTCTTGGATTTAAGTATGTAGACTAGAGTGGTAGATATGTAATATTTATTTATGTCAGCGAGATTATTAGTGTTGTTTTTTTCTCCTGGGATCCCCAATACACGTGTCAGACCTTTTTATATTGACCCACAACTCACCGACGTTCTGTTCTGTTGGTTTTCCTTAAATCTTTTTTCCTCTCAGTTTCTCAGAATGGATCATTTCGATTGATGTATGTTTCACTAAGTAGTATGAAGCCTCTAACATTCATACTATTAAGAAACACCAACGTTAACAGAATGGACTAAGAGGAGCCAAAAAAGGACTTGGCTCAGATGCTTCCCTCCTGAGCAAGGGGCTTCCTTGCCCCAGACCCCTTATCCAGGCCCCTTCTCCACTGGGGTCCAGCGTACCTGCTGCAGAGTGGCTGAATCTGGGCTCGCTGCCCTCAGGGAGCCGTTCCTGCCTGCGGCGATGAGGCCAATTCTCTCAAAGAAGGTCCTGAGCCTCCGGCCACAATAAAGGGAGGTGGACGGGGAGAGATGGCCCTGTGTGGATAGCAGCTGACTGGTGTATCCACAGACTTTCGTTATATTACTCTGTCTAGGCTGGCTGGGCATGTGTTTGAAATTCTTTTTGTTAACAAAATATTGAAAACAATCCAGTAGGGAAATTTCTTTCCCTATCCAATTGTGGATTTATCAGTATTTCTTCATTAGTCTATCACTTTGGCTGACTGTAGTGATGTTCCCACCAGCCATAGGGTAACTCCCAAATGGTTAAGACAATTGTGCACTGTCTCCCCGCCTTTATTTTTATAGCCCTATTACAACTACATATTCAGAGCACAAGGTCACTCCCACTGCAGTGGATGTGGAGTACACTCCCGGAGCCCCCCTCCCGGCCTGCTCTCACTCCCCTCCTTTGGTAAAGCTTGGATGCCAATGCTGTCTAGGAATTGCCCAAGGCCAAAGGAGCTGCCTCACCCAAGGTTGCTCCCAGCACACATCCAATTACTACCAGCTGATGTGGGTGCAAAGGCCCAGCCCCTTTCTAGAAATTAGCTTGCAAGGGATCTGAGCTCAGCCCATTCCCTCTTGTATGAGTTTTCTCGGACTGCTGCAATAAATTACCAAAAACCAGATAGCTTAAAACAACAGGAATTTATTTCCTCACGGCTCTGGAAGCCAGAAACCCAAAATTAAGGTGTCAGCAGAGCTGCGCTACCTCCAATGGCTCTAGAAGAGGTCTCACATGGCTTTCTTCCGTGTCTATGTCTTTCTTCTGTCTCTTCTATTTTTTTAAATATATTCTTATTGATTTCAGAGAGGAAGGGAGAGGGAGAGGGAGAGAGAGAAACATCAATGATGAGAATCATTGATGGGTTGCCTCCTGCATGCCCCCCACTGGGGATCAAGCCCGCAACCCAGGCATGTGCCCTGATCGAGAATGGAACCATGACCTCTTGGTTCATAGGTCAGCGCTCAACCACTGAGCCACACCTGCCAGGCTCTTCTGTCTCTTTTTAAGACATTTGTCATTGTATTTAGGGCCCACCTGGATATCCCAGCATGACTTCATCTCAAGATTCTTAACTTCATCACAAAGACCCTTTTTCTGGAAAAGGTCACATTCACAGGTTTTGGAAGTTAGGGTGCACACATATCTTTTGAGGGGCCACCATTCTCCCCACTACATTTTGAGAGCCCAGGCTCACGCCTGCCCAGCCAGAGCCCCCACACCCCCTGCCCCAGTGAGAGGACAAGACTGGGCAGCAGGGTCCACAGATAAGGGCCACAAGTGGTCTCCCTGCCTCTGCTCCAGGGAAATGCCCCGAGCCCTGCTCCCCACAGCTAGAAGCACTCTAAGTGGGTGTCTCGGGTCTCCCCCTAAGCGAGGGGGCTGCTGAGGGCTTCTCCCTGAGGCCCAGGTTCTCCTTGTTTTGTAATGAGAAGCAGAGAGGAGCCCAGCTCCTGCTCAGTTCCCAGTGGCCTGGGGCTGGGGGAGGGGCGGACCATGCAGGGTGCCTGGTTTTCCTGGTTGCTTTTCTCTGACAGTCTTTTTCAGATTCCCAACTTTTCGGAAACTCATCATTGCCAAGACAGCACGTGTCCCCAGTCAGCCCTGGATTTCAGTCCTGGTTCTGCCACGTGGGTAAATAGGCACCCAAATGCCTACTCTGCAGACCAGCTTGAAGGCTTGCGGGTCACATGGGGGACCTGAGGGAAAGAAGTTGAATCCAGCAGCTCTTCACTCCCTGCTCTCATCCTCTCTCCCCTCTCCACCTGCCTGCACACGGCCCTCCCCCAAACCCTCTCGCTGCCCCTCACTTTCTCATCTCTGCCCTCCTGGCTCAAGTGGTTTGGTCTCTCTGCTGCTAGCTGCCCTACAAGGGCGAGGGGGGGGGGAGGGTCGGTAGATCCCAGATGGAGGGGTTGATAACTGGATGGACGTAAAGCCCATGTTGCACCTCCTGTCCCCTTGGGGGGGTGTGGTGGATCGAACACTGAGACCAGAGCCCTAGAAGCATCCGGACCCGGACTCTGAGCAGAAGTGCTCCAGGGTCCGCCGGGAGCCAAGACAGAACCCCGGCGGGGCGCGCCGGGGCGGGCGCTGGCCGGGCCGCCCTCCTGCCGCGCCGCGCATGCTCCGTGCCCCCCCTTTTCCCACGCCGCCACCGCCCCCGCCCAACCCGCTCCGTGCCCGAACGTTGGTGCTGGATGGACAGACAGACGGACGACGGCAGTGCAGAACGCACCTCCCGAGCGGTGACGGAGGACGAGGCCCAAAACCTCCCCGGAGCCCCGCCGCCTCCTGGGGGCTGCCCCGGAGGGCTTCTCGGAGGCGGCGGCCTCGGCTTTGGTCCTGCTGGGGCGCCAGGTAGGGGCGGGGCCCCGTCTCCGCAAGTGGCGAGGGGGTGAGGGAGCTGCTGCAGCAGCAGCGGCAGCAGCGGCCGTCGGGACGCCCTGGGAGGCGGCGAGCTCTGAGAGCTGGCGGCCGGCCCTCGGGGCTACCCCCTTCCTGGGCGCCCCAGAAAGGCAGCCGGGTTTCCCAGTGTGTGTCCACTGACTGCGGTTCGCCACCGATCCGGGGGCCGGCAAGAGCGCATCCCGTCGCCCAGCCGCCTGGTAAGTTTGGACTGTTCGCGTCTTCATGTGGGAGCACCGTGCAGGCTGGCACAGCGACCCTGGTCGCAGCACTCCTGCCTGGGGCACCCGGCGAAGCGTCCACAGGCACAGGGCTGGGGGTTGTGCCCTTTGGTGGTGTGGGGGGATGGCGGTGAAGCGCCCCCCCCCACCCCCGGAAGGCTGAAGAAGAGGAAGCTCAGGGCAGGGTAGAGGCCCTCAAGGGCAGGAGAGGGACCGAACTGAACAGCGGGGACTGTGCGGGGAATTGTGCAGGGCTGCCCTGCAGGGCCAGTTCTCACAAATCCCCTCCGAGCTCCCATTGTGGGCCAGGTTGCTGCGGGCATTGGGGGTACATCTGGGAGCGAATTTGCTTTAACTCCCTCCCTGCTCAGTGGGTCCAGTTTTAGTGGCAGGGCACAGACAATGAAAGGTAATGGTTTCAAATGAAGAATAATAAAGTATGCTAAATGGTGGGAAGTGCCAAGGGAAAAAATAGAGCAGAGGAAGGGAGGGGAGGTGTGGGATTGCATATTTAAGTAGTGTGGTTAGAAGGCAACATTTCTGAAAAACCTAAAGGAAATGAGCGAGCCTACCAGGCAGAGGGAACAGCCAGTGCAAAGGCCCTGAGGCAGGAGTGTCCTGGTGAGTAGGAAGAAGAGTTCAGGGGCCACTGTGACTGAAGCAGGGGGAAGCAAGGATGTGGGAGGAGGGGGGAGAGAGGTCAGGAAGGGCCATGGGTTTACTCTGAGTGAGACAGGCACTTCAGGGAGGGTGCTAAGCAGGGAAGGGCAGAACCTCACTAGGAGGTGGCTCTCTTTATGTCCAGCCCAGCCTCTACCCCTGAGGCCAGGGCCTGGAGACACCAGTTGCACGGTTGTTCCTCAGAGGGCTTTGCTGGGCCAGGCCGCCTGGAGGCCCCTGGGCTGACCTATGGCAGCTTTCAGCCTAGACCTGGGCTCTGGACTGAGGCTGGCCTTCCCAGGCTCTGGGTCTTCCAGATTTTCCACCAGGTGGGTGGCAGGTGATGTGCGCTTCAGGGAAGGCTGCTGGGGCCAAGGGAAGGCTGTTGGGTCTTGAATCACTAGACCCCAGAGGAAGTCCCACCAGGATGGAAGAAGACCGGGTGCAGTGTCCCGGGTGTCCTCCCTTGTGGATGACCCCTCCTTCCCCCACCCCCGCCCAGTTCCTGATCCAGCCTGAGTGGTGGGACTGCTGACTGCCTTTCCAGTTGTTTGTTTGTTTTCTGTTTTCTTTTTCTGAGGAAATAGCCCCATCTCGTGGTCTTCCGTAGGCATCAGCGCCCAAGCCCACTGGCCACCCCTCCCGCTTTGGGCTTTGGAGCCAGCTTCACTTCGCCCCCTGCACTCCTCCCCTCCCCCCTCGGGGTGGGCAGGTGGCTCCTCGTTCTCAGCTTTTCCTCTGCCAGGATCAGTGAAGGGGTGGGAGTCTGCCCCCTTCTTGGGGGCAAACCAGCCCAGGAGGAGGCTGGCAGGGCCTTCCTGGCTTCTGGCCCAGGGCACTGCTGTCCGATGGACCCTCCCCTGCATCCCAGTGCCAGGTTTCAGGAAAGCTGAGCTTCGGGGTCCAGAATCATCTTTCAGTTTCTCCTCTATTCTGGTGGCCCAAGGTCAGAGGGTCTTAGGAGAAGCTGCTCTCCAGCTCCACAGGCTCCTTCTAGATTGTTCCTTATGCACGTGTTAGGGAGTGTCATCCCATTCCCACCTGGAGGGTTACTTGGAGTTATAGTCTGTGAGGAAAGGGCTTGGCGTGTCTTTCCTTCCAGGATTTGGAAGTGTGCTGACTTTGGGGGTCTAGGTCTCAAACATAGACACTGTTGCGTGCGACCACTCATCGTGGCTGGCACCTCCCAGTGCGCCTTGTGGTGTTGAACTTGAATGTTGGTCTCCATCTACAGGTGAGCCTGTCATGCTGTTTCTCTCAGGCGGTCACAGCTCAATGGCTGTTTCTCCACTGGGGGCTTGGACCCCAGTATGTCTTGGAGCGGGAGACCGTAGATATCGCCTCTTCCTTTAGACTTTTCTGTTTTCCAAGATGGACCATGACCTGGCGTTACAGCCGTGGGAGAGAGAAAAGAAGCAAGTGCTGTTCTTCAAAATAATGTGCTGCTGGTCTGGAAAGCCCGGATGTTCCCACTAGTCTCCGCCATACACCTTTATAGCTCATTATGTCCCCCCAGTGACTGACGGGTGTCAGAATGAAATGTGACGTGTGGACATCAGCATGATTACTCGACAGCCACACCTCTTGACCCCCTTTTTTTATTGAGATGAGATTTGCATAAAACAAAATTGACCATTCTAAAGTGAATAATTCAACAGCATTAAGTACATTAACAATGTTGTGCAACCATCACCGCTGTCTTGTTCCAGAACATTTTCATCACCCATGGAGAAAACCCTATACCCACAAAGCAGTCATACACACACACACACACACACACACACACACCGCTCCTCCCCCCCGCCCCCCACACACACCCTCACACCTCATGCCCACCGATCTGCTCTCTGGCTCTCTGGATTTTTCTATTCTGCACATGTCATATGTTAGTTTTTAAAAAATATCTTTTTATTGATTTTTTTTTTTTTTGAGAGAGAGAGAGAGAGAAACATCAATCAGCTGCCTCCACTATGCACCCAGACTGGGAATTGATCCTGGAACCTGGGCATGTGCCCTGACCTGGAATCAAACCGGCAACCCTTCTGAGCACAGGATGCTGCTCACCCAAGTGGGCCACACCTACCAAGGCCATGTCATATTTTTAAAGATAAGATTATTTTTTGATGGCAGATCACAAGACAGTGACACCTAGAGAGATGAAAGGCAGAACTCTTTCTTACAACTCAAAGGAGAGGAGGCTGCCACATGGGGGTGCATCGGGGTAGCATGCTAGTTTCCACGGGGTCCCTCTGGGCATAGGGGCTGTCCCTAGTTTTCTCATACTGACCTCTGAGTGTGGGAGCCCAATAAGGGGGTGAGGACATGTTTAGTGGCCCCAGAGAGAGGGCCCCATGATGAGGGAGGTAGCTGGGATGGGAGCTCAACAAACTGCCCATGAAGAGCAGAGAAAAGGGGGTTTTCAGTCATAAGTTCCAAACTAGGGCAAGACAGCTCTTGTGAAATTTTGTATTACATCATATAAATGGAATCACACCATCTGTGGCCTATTGTGTGTCTGGCTTTTGTCACTGAGCATAATGTCTCCAAGGTTCGCCCGCATTGTAGCATGTATCGGCATTTCATTCCTCTTTATGGCCAAGTAATATTCCATTGTGGGTACGACCACATTTGTTTCATCCGTTAGCATTCGTCAGACGGTGGATATTGGGTTGTTTCCACTTGTTGCCGCTCTGGTGAATCACGCTGCTAGGAACATTCATGTACCGGCTTTTATTTGCACACCTGTTTGCAGTTGTTTTGGGTATATGTCCAGGAGTGGAATTGCTGGGTCATGCGATAACTGTTTATTTATTGAGGAACCATCAAACTATTTTCCCTTTTAATTTTGAACACCATCGAGCAAACCGACAAGTAGAGAGACTAGTGTAATGAAGCCCAGGCAGTACCCTCCAGCTCCTCTTATTTGCTAGTTTGCTCTTCCCTTTCCTTCCATTCTATTCCCTTCCCAGCATTTTAAAGTAAGTTTACAGGCCATTTTCTCCCAAAATGCTTCAATGTGCATCTCTTTTTTTGTTTGTTAAGCCTCACCTGAAGATATTTTTCCATTGATTTTTTTAGGGAGAGCGGAAGAGAGAGGGAAAGACAGAGAGAAACATCCCAGTGAGAGAAACACATGGATTGGTTGCCTCCTGCACAAGTCCCAACCCGGGCCTGGGCCAGGGAGAAGCCTGCAACCGAGGTACATGCCCTTGAAAGGAATCGAACGCAGGACCCTTTAGTCTGCAGGCTGACGCTCTGTCCACTAAGCCAAACCGGCTAGGGCTTAATGTGCATCTCTTGACAAGCACATTTTGTTAAATGGCTCAGTGCTATTTTCCATCCAATGCACAGGCAGCAGTGGTCCCACTGTCCTCTGAAAGTCACTCCTCAGTAGGCCCTCCATGCTCCCCAGTGCCTTTGACTCCTCTTTTGTTCATGCCTGATAAAAGACTCTGCCCATGGCTCAGTGGTTGAGCGTCGACCTATGAACTAGGACAGTGGTCGGCAAACTGCGGCTCGCGAGCCACATGTGGCTCTTTGGCCCCCTGAGTGTGGCTCTTCCACAAAATACCGACTTCTGCGCATGGGCCACGAAGTTTCAATTGCACTGCACATGCGCGCCCACACGTGGTATTTTGTGGAAGAGCCACACTCAAGGGGCCAAAGAGCCGCATGTGGCTCTCGAGCCGCAGTTTGCCGACCACAGAACTAGGAGGTCATGGTTCAATTCCCGCTCAGAGCACATATCCCCAGCGTGGAGCATGCAGGAGGCAGTTCATCAGTGATTCTCTCTCATCATTGATGTTTCTATCTCTCCCTCTCCCTTCCTCTCTGAAATCAATAAAAATATATTTTTAAAAAGGACTCCATTGCACTTGGATGTTGGCCCCTTAAATCTCTTTTCATCTAGAACAGTCATCCTCTCTAAGCCTCCTCTCTTCCCCAGGACACTCATTTGCAGAGGAGAACAGGGAACAGCCCACTTCTGGGTCAGGCTGCTTGCTTTCTTGTGGTGTCTTGAACTGGCCCCCTCCTGTGAACTGCAAGTTGGGTTCCAAGGCTGTATCAGAATCCGGTCAAGACTTGGCAAGAGCCCTCCTGGGCCACCTGAGCAGTCCCCACAGCATCCCCGGAGGGATGTCCCACCTCTGTCCCACCATTGTTAGATTAGCTTTCTCTCTCGTGACCAGCAGACATTTGACATCACGTGGATATCTGTTCTTCCTTCGCCTTGCATCTAATGCAGCGGTTCTCAACCTGTGGGTCGCGACCCCTTTGGAGGTCGAAGGACCCTTTCACAGGGGTCGGATAAGACCATCCTGCATATCAGATATTTACATTACAATTCATAACAGTAGCAAAATTCCAGTTATGAAGTAGCAATGAAAATAATTTTATGGTTGGGGTCACAACATGAGGAACTGTATTTAAAGGGCCAGAAGGTTGAGAACCACTGATCTAATGGTATGTATGTATGTATGTATGTATGTATTTATTTATTTTAATCCTCACCCGAGGATATTTTCTCATTGATTTTTAGAGAGAGTGGGACGGGGAGAGACAGAGAGAAACATCGATGTGAGAGAGACTCATTGATTGGTTGCTTCCTGCCCGGGGGCCGGGGAGGAGCCTGTAACCGAGGTACTTGCCCTTGACTGGAATCGACCCCGGGACCCTTCAGTCCGCAGGACAATGCTCTATCCACTGAGCCAAACCAGCTAGGGCCATCTAATGGTTTTTAGCATCCACTTGACCTTAAGGGATTCTGTCTCTCTGATTCATAGAAACTTCTTCATAAGACATATGAGTTTATTTATTCCAGGCCAGTGTTGATTGACAATGTATCACAGGTGATAAGGGACTTTGGGCCAATTTCAATGCTCTGGGGACCCTGTCCCTTTGCCCTCTCTCGTTGCATAAACACGCTGTGCTCGCCCACAGCAGCATAAGAAACACTCCAGGCTCAGGCCCACCCGCCCACCACCCACAGCCTTGTTCCTCCGCTACTCCGCCCAGGACTTTCACCTTTCAGTCTCCAGTTGGGTGGAAACAACATCCTTAGAGCAAACTTTCTTCTTCTGGCTTTGAGAACTGATGTGGAGAAAGAAATCTGGTTCCGTCCACTTTGTCAGTGACACGCTCTTCCTGCCCTTAATGTGAGCCCGGGCTCCTTCCTGTCCCCCGGGGGTCAGGGGGGCAGGGGGAGAGGGGAGGATGGGGGAGGCCCCAGCATGGCCTCACGTTCTGCAAACTCCCCCCACCACCACCACTGCCAGCCAGTTTTCAGCACCATGAACGCTGCACTCAGGCCTATCTGAAGGCTGGATATGGGCCATGCCCTTGATCTGCTGTTCTCCTTACTCCAACCTTCATCTTTTGGCCTAAAAGTTACTTCTTCAGAAAGCACCCCCCCCCCCCCCCCGCAATCGTGGGTCCCTTCATTGTGCAGCTCACCAGCCTGGTCTTTCTCTTCCCCTTGAGAAGTGTTTGCAGGTGGAGGCGGTATGTTTAGAGATTTTTTGTCAGAACCCTGACCTGAGGGGAAAGGGGGTTGGCGGCAGGGCTTCTAGGGATTGCTGGAAAGTTGGGGTCAGGGGTACTGCCCACATGAGAAAAGGGCCAAGAGAAGAAAGAAATGAGAAAAATAAAGGAAAGACTAGCCCGGCCGACATGGCTCAGTGGTTGAGCATCAACCTATGAACCAGGAGATCTGGGTTCGATTCTCGGTTAGGCCTCACGCCCGGGTTGGGGGCTTGATCCCCAGTGGGGGACATACAGGAGGCAGCCCATCAGTGAATCTTTCTCATCATTGATGTTTCTATCTCTCCCCCTCCTCTCTGAAATCACTAAAATTATATTTTTAAAAAGAAACACTCCCTTGAAAGCCTAGTTTGGGCTGCTGGCCAGAGGGGGGAATAAATCCGTGTCTGTGGCCCACTGTGCAGGTGAGGAGAGGGGACAGAAGCTCAGTTTAGTTAAGTGTTATGGGTTGAATCGTGTCCCCTGAAAAGATATGTTGAAATCTTGTCCCCAGGGGCTGGGAATGGATGGGCTGTACTGGAGTGGGGTGGGCCTCCTCTCACACCTACTTCTTTCTACTTCCCTTAGCTTCTCCCTGCCTCTGCCATGGCAGCCATTCTCCTAACGACCAGAGCCAAGGTGAGTGGGTCTCCCAGCTGCGGGCTGCCCCTCGCCCCAGCATCTCCCCTTCACGGTCTCCACCTGCCACCTCCTCGTGTCCCAGCCTCACAACTGTTGCAACTCCGAGCCTCCCCCGGCTGCTGCGCTCCCCAATATCGCCCTTATCCCATCTTTAGTTGCTCCCACCTCATCCTGGGCCCCAAGAGGGTGAATTTCCCTGCAGTCACAGGAATGGCTTGTTTTAGGTGCCAGTATCTTTTGAGGACGTGTCCGTGCACTTCAGCAAGACAGAATGGAAGCTTCTGGATCTCAAACAAAGGATCCTCTACAAGCAAGTGATGCTGGAGAACTACCGCCATTTAGTGTCACTGGGTAAGGACCCCACACACCCAGCGCCTCCTGCTTTGTCTCTAAACTTTCTTTCTTTCTTTCTTTCTTTCTTTCTTTCTTTCTTTCTTTCTTTCTTTTTTTAACATATTTTTATTGATTTCAGAAAGGAAGGGAGAGGAAGAGGGAGATAGAAACATCAATGATGAGAGAGAATTATTGATCGGCTGCCTCCTGCATGCCCCACACTGGGGATTGAGCCTGCAACCTGGGCATGTGCCCTGATAGAGAATCGAACCATAACCTCCTGGTTCATGGGTCGATGCTCAAACACTAAGCCATGCCAGCTGGGCTGAACTCAGTTTATTTTTGAGTTTCTTTGCTGGTTGGTTACTGTAAGGCCAAAAATAAATGCATTTCCCCATCAGATCCATAATCCATTGCAGCCCAGCTTTTGTCTCAACAGGGCAGTTTTTAGCTCAATGGTTTGGACCTGTGAATGTTTTGGGTAAATGTGTGCCCTCCCTCATCAAACTTATTTTGCATATAAACTCAGGTTAACGGAACTTCTTCTACCCAAAAGATGGTGCAAATTACCCTATGCCCTACTGGAGACTTAATTCACTTTTACCAAGGTTGCATTTCACATTTGTTTCTTGTTAGAATTTAGTAGCATCAAGCCACAGAGGGCCCAGGACATGGAGGCCCAGGCCAAGGCATGTAGAGGCCGGGGTGGGAGCTGGGGCATACTCCCCTGCTGCATCCCGCTGCCTTTGGGGCTGCAGTGGACCCCCTTGCTCCAATTTTTCTTTTAGAGTCAACAGATTTCACCTCTGTGATTTGCCCACACCAAGGGAGACTAGCTTCTTCCCCTGGGTTCTTTCTGACCCTTCCCAGGAAGATCTGGGCTTCCCAGGGGAGTCCAGGAATCCTCAGCTGAGTTTGGCATAAGGAACTGAGACATCTGCTCTGTCTGATGGTGATTCAAAGGGCAAAAGGGGTGCAGGCAGCCCCTCGGCTCTGTTCACTTCCTGATACTCCCTCAGGCCTTGACCCCGGTGGATCCCTGCTCTAGCCCTTTGGCTATGCCTCGGAGTATCCACACACACAGAGGCCCCCACAAGCCTACTGCTCTCCACGAGGCCAAGTAATAACATCTTTATCCTCGTCGCCCAAATTGCCATCTACTATAGATCCCCTGTGCCTGCCTGGTCCCTGTAGGCTTAGAGCCCCTTGCTTCGTGAGTGGGACTCTGCCCTACTCTGGACCCTTCCAGTGGCACTTTTTGGAGAGTTCTTTGTTCTCTGTTCCTGAAGACACTGATTCACTTCATTTCCGTGCACAGGATTTTCATCCTCCAAGCCTCACCTGGTCTCCCTGCTGGAGCGAGGGGAATGGCCCTGGGTAACAGACAGCCGGACAAGGGCTGCCGTAGGAACACAGGCAGGTGAGTAAAAGGTGGTCGGCCAGCTTGCCTGAGGCATTCGCATAGAGCAGCGGCCAGTGGAGGGTGGCACAGTCACTTTGGGTGGGGAACTCTCTTTTGTGGCAGATTTAAATGCCCCAAGGACTCGCCCACTATGGAGGCACCAGATGAAGGGAGCACCTCCTGCTGTCTCACCCCATTTCCTCCCTTCTCACTTTCCTGTCTCTCTGCCCAAGTCCATCTCTTGGTTCATCTCTTCTCAGCCTTGGCATGAGGGTGAGGGTGAAGAAAAAACCCTCAATAGAGATCCAGGGAGGGAGCAACACCGGTTGGTGCCCTCTGTCTTTACAGATGAAAGGATCAAGAGCAAGGCATTGAGTTCCAAGAAGAAACATTGTCCAAAAGAATGCGCAGGTGGCAGCAAGGGCCAGGGAGCCAGGCTGCTGGAGGAGAAACCTGAGCAGACACAGAAACATGTTCGTTCTCCAGAGACAGGTTCCAGCAGGGGTGACCATCACAGGGAGAAAGGCCAAGGCAGTTCCTCGGGGGCGGGGAGAGAGCCAGTGCAGAGAAGCAACCACAGCGTCAGGCAGGTTTCAGTGTCAAGGCCACAGAGTTCCAAAGGCGCAGAGAAGCGGTACCTGTGTCAGCAGTGTGGGAAATCCTTCAGCCGGAGCTCCAACCTCATCAAACACCGCATCATCCACAGCGGCGAGAAGCCCTACGAGTGCTCAGAGTGTGGGAAACTGTTTCGGCGCAGCTTCGCCCTCCTGGAGCACCAGCGCATCCACAGCGGCGAGAAGCCCTTCGAATGCAATGAGTGCGGGAAGACCTTTACGCGCAGCTCCAACCTCATCAAGCACCAAATTATCCACAGCGGCGAGAAGCCCTTCAAGTGCTCAGAGTGTGGGAAACTCTTCCGGCGCAGCTTCGCCCTCCTGGAGCATGAGCGCATCCACAGCGGCGAGCGGCCCTATGAGTGCAATGAGTGCGGGAAGTCCTTCAGCAGGAGCTCTAACCTCATCGAGCACCAGCGAACCCACAGTGGCGAGAAGCCCTACAAGTGCAGCAAGTGTCCAAAAGCTTTCAAGGGCATCTCCCAGCTCATTCATCACCAGCGCATCCACAGCAGGGAGAAGTCATTCCAGTGCAAGGAGTGTGGAAAGGCCTTCCGGGGGCGCTCGGGCCTCAGTCAGCATCGTCGGGTACACAGTGGTGAGAAGCCCTACGAATGCAGCGACTGTGGGAAGACCTTCGGCAGACGATCCAACCTCTTCAAGCACCAGGCGGTTCACAGGGAAGAGAGGCCCCACAAGTGTCAAGACTGCAAGAAGGTGTTCCGGAGCAGCTTAGACCTCCTGGAGCACCGACAGGCGCACGAATGCCGGAAGGCCTGCAGCAAGAGCGAGGAGAAGCCTTGCACATGTGGCGAGTGTGGCAAATGTGACAAGGCCTTGAAGGGAAAGTTGCAGAAAACTCGCCACGGAAAGAAGACTTCAGAGGACAGCGACAATGAAAAAGAGCCAGTCTCCTTGGCCCTCAAAAGTGCCCCTGCAGAGCCCCACCCTGAAGATGAGAAACAGGGGACAGACTCTGAATGCAAGGCTACCCACAGTGCCATGTGACAGGGTTGTCTCAGGAGGGCTGAGCGTCCTGCTCCCCTCCATCCTGTCATTGATGATGCAGCCTGAGCCCTGGGCTGATGACAGGGTGCCATGAGTGTGCACAGGAGTGCGTGTGTGTGGAGCGGATGTGAGCTGCTGAAAGGGCCCTTGCACACCCATCGGGACTTCATGCTGCAGGAGGACACCTGTGGATGGGGCCACCCCCAGGGCGCAGGCACCTTGAATTCATTCAGTAGAGTAGTCTATTTTCTCTCATCGAGTCATTCACTGCACCCCAAGACTTGTTAGTGTTTCCAGGTAGAAGACACGAAAAGCACTTTAATCCTTGAAGAGCTTATAGATGGAAGGCCCTTGAGGACATTAAAACTCGTGAGCTCTGTAAGTAGGCTGTGGCTCGACTGTGACATCCCCCCAAATTCATCAAGAAATGGTCTGCAAATGGACTCAGACAAATACTCTCACACACTGCTCACGCCTGCATTGTTAGCCTGGGCTCCGTGGGAAGGCACAGGACACCCTGCTACGGTGCTGACCCGTTCTTTTTCCAGGCCATTTGTCTTTGTGCCTGAAGACTGCAGCCTTCCACAGCTGTCCCCAGCTGCTGCTTCTCAGAGGAGCAGCACCAGGCCCCATCTTCTCAGAGCTTGGGAGGTGGGGGGGGCTCTTGGGGGTGAAGGGCCAGGGCCCCGTGGAGAGGATGAGGCCCAAGGACTCTCAGCTTCTCCTCCCCCAGAGAGTAGCCTTTTTGCACTGGTCCCTCGAAGAAGCAGGCTCCAGGCAAGACATGGCAAGCATGGCAACATTTGCCACCGGCTGCCTGGCTACCTTTGGTCTCCTCCCTGCCCACCAGACCCCCAAGTTTGCCCTATCTGCTGCTTTTCTGCCCCCCACCCCCCGCCCAGAGCCTGCCAGCAAAGGCCACCCTGGCTTCTCTGTTCCTCCTTCCCACCCTCAGTGCCTAAAGCTGCCCCCACTCCCCGTACCCAAGCCGCACCCCTTGTGGTTTGTATGCATCAGGAGGAAAGCCAGACGGGTTAGGAATTTGCACAGAGGGTACCCAGCCGTGGTTCTCTCATTAGATCTGTCTTTATAGGACATTTCTGAAAATATTGGAGGCTCGGTTGCTTTGAATGTTTTTGCGTTCAGGACAATGTAAGTTGAAGGTTGAGATTTCTGCCATATGAGAGTGTCAGGGAATCACTCCTGAAATAAGAATCCCACCCCACCCCCAGCCCTCTGAGAAGTACTCAGACAGGAGAAAGGGTCTCACCCTCCCCCCCCCGCCCCGCCCCCTGAGGCCTGGCACATGGTCAGTGTGGTGGCAAGCCTGGCTACTCTTCTCCCTCCTTCCCAACAGCCCTGTGGAAACAGGGCAGACCCTGCAAATGGCACTTTACTGCAGGCCAGGTGAGGTTCTCAAGGAGAAAGCTCACACTGGCCAGGGAGGCAGCTGCTGGCAGGCTCTGTCCTGTGCCACCTATGCTGTCCCCAGAGCTGGGCCCAGGAATTATGCCCCTTGGTGCTCTCCGCCCAGTTTCCTGGTTCGCTTGCCACCTCCTTCCAGCCCCCTTCACTCTCAGGGGCTCTGGTCTGTCACACAGAGCGCTGAGGGCAGGCAGGTGGTGGATATGCTGGAGTCCCTCTCCGGGCCTCCAAGGAGCATGCGCGTTCCCTGCAAGACGGGGGAGGGTCAAAGACCCATCAGGAGAGTGTGGGAAGACCTGGAAGTCCAGGATTCCTTCTGAACATGCTGTTTGGAGCTGCAATCGCTAGGACGACTCCAAAAGTGAGAAATATAGGAATAGGTGTAGATGTAGATGTAGGTGTAGATGTAGGTGTAGGTGTAGATGTTTTATAGAGATTTATTTAAAGGATTTTACACATCTTTGACTTCTGGAAAGTGCTTGTAACTTGCTCTTATCTCATAGCCTCCTTAGCTGCATCCATATCCCCTTGTCCTTTGATTGGCCTCTGCTCTGCGTGTCACATTCGTCTTTGTGCCCTAGCACTGGGCTTGGCACTTAGTAAATGTTAGATCGCTGAAGGAGGAACGCACAACGCGAATTGATTTGATCATCCGCACACCAGGTGGCTGAGCCTGGATGGCTCCAGCCCCCGTGACAGGAGTCAGCGGCTTATAAAGGACTTTTGGCGGGCTTTTTCCTGGGTGGAGACTTCTTTACACATACCCGGAGGGGAGAGAATGGGATGTGGTCACTGCAAGTGAAATGTGGTCTCAGCAAAGGGACTGTCCTTAGTGAAATGACCTGGAAAGCCAGTTCCCGGGGGAGGGGTATCATTTCAATTTCTCGATCAAACCTAACAGTAAGTGCTTGTGGAATGAATATCGCCCCCTCAGCACATTGAACTCAGGTTCTAGACCACAGTCAGCCCTAGCATTGCCTAGAGGCAGTTGAAAGTTTCTGCAACATTTGGGTTTTCCAGTAGAAAAAGAAGGATTAGGAACAGTGTCTGGAGTCCATGGAGAGGTCATTGGGAAATGTGTTTTTTTCTGAGGTGCAGACAATCTTTGCTAGGATTTAAGAACCCAGTCCCCACGCAGTGCCGGGGACAGTGGCCAGAGCCCTGTGCTTGGGCTCCAGTCTCCTTCAACCATGGCCTGACTGGGATTGGGGCAACAGCTCTCACGTGGTGGGAATCAGGAAGAATGCTTTTGTAAGTGAACAGTTTTGCTCTTACAGGCCAGTCAGTAACCAGCTTTTAATAAAGAAGAGCTGCACCCTAGCCGGTTTGGCTCTGTGGATAGAGCATCGGCCCACGGATGGAAGGGTCACGGGTTCAATTCTGGTGGGTGTGGGAGGCAATGGGTCAATGCATCTCTCACATTGATGTTTCTCTCTCTGTGTCTGTCCCCCTCCCTTTCAATCCCTCTAAAAATCAATGGGGAAAAATACCCTCGGATGAGAATAGGAAAGACAGAAGGGTGGGAGGGAGAGAGAGAGACAGAGATGGGGGGAGGAAGGGAGGAAGGGAAGGAGGGAGGGAGGGAGGGAGGGAGGAAAGAAGGAAGGAAGGAAGGAAGGAAGGAAGGAAGGAAGGAAGGAAGGAAGGGAGAGAGAGAGAGAGAGAGAGAAAGGGGGGAGGGAGGAAGGAAGGAGGGAGGGAGGAAGAGAAGAGAAGAGAAGAGAAGAGAAGAGAAGAGAAGAGAAGAGAAGAGAAGAGAAGAGAAGAGAAGAGAAGAGAAGAGAGAAGAGAAGGGAAGAGAGGAGAAGAGAGGAGTTGGCTCCCCCCAGGATAAGGTCATCCCATTGATTCTACTGGATAAGCTAGCTTTTTTTCCCTCCCTGCCCCCACCCCCACCCCACAACCACTGGCCTACTTTCTGTCCCTGTTCATTAGTTGGTATTTTCTGCAGTTCTATGTAAATGGAACCCTGCTGTGTGCACTCTTTCTTGTCTGGCCCCTTTTGCTCTGCATAATGATTTTGAAGTGCATCCCGGTTGTTGTAGCAGTCAGTCCTTCGTTTTCATTGCTGAGTATCATTCCATTGTGTGCACGGACCACAGTATTTGTGTTGTTTCCGGGTATTGGCCATGACTAATAAAGCTACTATGAACGAACATTTGTGTACCATTGTCTGTGTGGACATATGTTATCACTTCTCTTGGGTATACATGTGCCTGGGAGGGGAGTTTCTGGGTCAGTTATTGATTTTTTAAAAATATATTTTATTGATTTTTCACAGAGAGGAAGAGAGAGAGATAGAAAGTTAGAAACATCGATGAGAGAGAAACATCGATCAGCTGCCTCCTGCACATCTCCCACTGGGGATGTGCCCGCAACCCAGGTACATGCCCTTGACCAGAATGGAACCTGGGACCTTTCAGTCTGCAGGCCGACGCTCTGTCCACTGAGCCAAACCGGTTTCGGCAGTTATTGATTTTGATCTTATTGCTTCGATCATCCTTGGTTGCCCTGCCGTCCTGGTTCCCCAGAGACATGCTGCACATTTAACTGCATACTGGGATGTGAGGGCAACTGAGGCCTATGTCTTGCCTCCATTCACAATCAGGAGCATGTATTTGTTGCTATGATGCCCTTGTTCATTGTTCTGAAAACGTATCACTGTTCCAAAAATTTTAAAAAACTTTTGTCTTGCCCTGGCAGGGTAGCTCAGTTGGTCAGAGCATTGTCCCGATATGCCAAGGTTGAGGGTCCAATCCCCAGTCAGGGCACATACAAGAATCAAGCAATGAATGCATAAATATGTGGAACAAAAATCTAAATATCTCTCAAGTCAATAAAAATATTTTTAAAAATTTTTTCCGGCAAAGATTTCTAACAAAAAAAATAAAATCAAACTGAAATAAGGAAGTAGTGATTAAAATAATTGTTCGTATTTTTTCCAGAATATTCCTCACATAATATATAATGTACTTTCCTTCCATATTCTGGCTAGTTAGTGGGAACGAGGTGAAAGGAGGTAGATGGAGAGCAAGCCGGGTAGGCAGAGAAGGGGTGAGGAGAGAAGGACAAAGGAGGAAAAAGGAAAGCGAGGTTCAGGAGAAGGATAGCTGTGCAGTGCTTGCACACTTGGGTGGAAGACACCTTGGTTATCTCCTCAGGTTGTGGGGATAGAATGGAGGAATCAACAAACAGAGTATTAGGAAAGTGGCCACAAGTAATAGAAAACCTGACTATGGTGGATTAAATAATGTTTAATTTTCTCACATAAGAAAGCTGGAGGTAGCTTGCTGGCACTGGTTAGAGAGACCATCGGTATCTCTCTAACCAGCTTAGTTTTGCCTCTTGATCACAAAATGGTTGCCAAAGCTCCAGTCATCACATATGCATCCAAGTACAGAAGCAAGGGGCAAGGGCAAGTGTATCTGTCCCCGTTTAACAAGAAAGCAACAGAATCCCAGAAGCTTGCCCAGCAGACTTTCACGTAAGTCTCAGGCAGAACTGGGTCAGATGGCCACCTTTACCTGTAAGAAAGGCTAGGAACGCAGAGAACAAGACTGTCATAACCTGTCACTGAAGCTAAGCCCACTGAGGCACTGAACAAAATTGGAGTCTTATCACCAGAGAAGAAGGTTGGAATGGGTATTGCATGGTATTATGGATTGAATTATGCACCTCTGCCTCCCCCCAAAAAAGATATTTTGAAGTCCTAACCCCCAATACTTTGTGACCTCATCTCAAGATCTTGGAAATAGGATCTTTGCAGATGTAAATAGTTAAGATGAGGTCATCCTGGAGTAGGCTGGGCCCTTCACCCAATATGTCTGGTATCCTTATAAGAGAGGACAGGGAGGAAATGGTTGTGTGGAGATGGAGGCAGAGGTTGGAGGGATGCGGCCACAAGCCAAGGAATGTCTGTGGCCACCAGATGCTGGAGGAGGTGAGGAATGATCCTCCCCTACAGCCTCCGGAGGGAGTCCAGCCATACTGACACCTTGCTTCCTACCCGTGGACCTCAGCTCTTTATGCCTAAAACCTCAGAGGCTGGGTAGCGCTATGCCAGCAAGAGGAAAGGCGGTCAACCTTATTCACTCTCCTTCCCCACGTGCCGGCACTCTGCATACTTATGTGCATGTTCTCAGGGCCGGAAGTGGGTACTATCCTGACCCCTGTTTACAAGTGAGGAAACTGGAGCTCAGAGATGGAAAGGAGATGTCCAAAGCCACCCCCCACTAAGAGGCCACAGATCCTCGCCCTGGTCCAGGGAACCTCAGCACCGCAGCTCTTTCCACTCCAGGCAACTCTGCCTCCCCTCCCCCCAAACTAGAGGGACTCCAACTGGCTTTCCCATTTTCCCAACTTTGCCCATTTGGGGATGATTCCTTGCAAATGTTGGTGTAGCCAAAGATCAAATCGCATCATCGTAGCTTTAAGGATTTCACAAAAGAAAAATGCTGCTTGGGAACTTCAAAAGCTTTGACCCCCGTCTAGGTTCTCAGCTGATCACTCTCCTGAGAGCTGGGGAGACCTGGGAGCAGGGCCAGTAGTGCTTTCTTTGGTCAGATGCCAGGCGCCTCGGTTTTCTTCCTTGTGATAAAGATGAAAAGAGCCTTCATGTTTTCAGTCAACAAATCCCCACTGGGGCAGAGCTCTGGGCTGGCCCTGGGCTGGCGCTGGGCCCAGTGCTGAGCCAGCCTTCTTTCTAGGGACAGGAGTGCTACGTGCAGGGAGCAAAAATACAACAAGGGAGTGGTGGACGGGGTGAAGCAGTGGTCAGAGAGGGTCTCTCTCAGAGGTGGGGACAATTGAGCAGAGACCTGATTGGGGTGCATGTCTGGAACAGAGCAGTCCAGAAGGAGGATACAGCCAGTGCAAAGGTCCTGAGGCAGTGTGTTGAGTTCCTGGGGCTGCCATAACAAGCATCACAAACTGGGTGTCTTAAAACAACAGATACTTAGTCTCTCAGTGCTCTAGGGGCTGGAAGTCCAAAATCAAGGTGTTGGCAGGGCCATGCTCCCTTCGGAGGATCTAGGGGAGGGTCCTTCATTATTTTTTTAAAAATATATTTTTATTGATTTCTGAGAGGAAGGGAGAGGGAGAGATAGATAGAAACATCAATGATGAGAGAGAATCATTGATCGGCTGCTTCCTGCACGCCCCACACTGGGCATCAAGCCCACAACCCAGGCATGTGCCCTGACTGGGAATCAAACCATGACCTTCTGATTCATAGGTCGAAGCTCAACCACTGAGCCACGCTGGCCGGGCATTAGCAGCTTCTGGTGGTTCCAGGGGACCCATAGCTTTTGGTCACATTCCTCCAGTCTCTACCTCTGTCTTCATGTGGCCTTCTGCCCTGTCTCTTAGAAGAGGAAAAGTTAGTGGATTTGGGAGCCACCCAGGTAATCCCCAAAGACTGCATCACAAGATCTTTAATGTGATTCTATCTGCAGAGACCCTTTTTCTAAAGAAAGTCACGTTCACAGGGTCCAGGGATTAGGACATGCGCAGAGCTTTAGCGAGAGCCCCATTCAGCCCAGTAGAGGCAGGAACATGCTCGGAGTGTTTGAGGCCACGTGGCTGGAGCCCAGGGAGCTGGGAGGAGGGATGGGAGTAGTGGGGCAGAGGCAGCCATGTAGGGCTTGGAGGCCACAACAAGAAGAGTACATGCCAAGCATCTGGTTAGTACAGAGCTCAAAACAACGGCAGCCATCATCATAGCTGACATTCTCTGCCTATCTGCTAGGTGCTGGGCCCTAGGTGTGGTCCGGCCTCCTGGCAACACTGACTCCATTTTACAGATGAGGAAACTCAGGCCAGCCTGTTAGGTAACCTGTGCTGGTCACAGGGTTGGCAAACAAGGAGGGTAGAGAGCCAGGGCCCAGCACCCATGCTCTCCCTGGGCAAGGTCCGTGCATGTCACTAAGAGTGGAGGCACCACGCCGGCGTGGCTCAGTGGTTGAGCATCCACCTATGAACCAGGAGGTCACAGTTCTATTCCCAGTCAGGGCACATGCCCTGGCTGGGGGATCAATCCCCAGTGTGGGGCTTGCAGGAGGCAGCCGATCAATGATTCTCTTTCATCATTGATGTTTCTCTCTCTCTCTCTCTCTCTCTCTCTCTCTCTCTCTCTCCCCCTCCCTCTCCCTTCCTCTCTGAAACCAATAAAAATATATTTTTTAAAAGAGTGGAGGCTCCCTCCCGACTGCTAGATGCTCCTTGCCACCCCCATGGGGCCTGGGCAGAGCAGACACGTTGTGGGGTGTAGTCAGTGGTTCTTGCTCTTCCTCCTCTTTCCCCAGGAGCAGGATTCCCAGGTTTTCAAGCTGATGTACCTGGCAATCAGGGTCAGAGAGCAAAGAGGTTGACAACTGTCAGTAGGAGAACCTACTAGAACAGTGGTTCTCA